AAGCTCTGTAATTTGCTTTTTCTTTTTTACAGATTACAATCTCATGAACCTTCTACTTTATTTTTTTACCTCTTTAGCATTCTGAACATGCAGGTTAAACCCAAGATAACGTCTTATCAAAAGTAAATCAAATAGCGGTGGAGTCAAATGGAAAATTACTACATATCCATACGTGTTCCTATCCACTCTTCCTCTGGTTCATATTCATGTGTTTGGAATTTTAAAAACCATTTATCTGAAAGCAGAAACTGTTTAAACATTACCCAATTCTCCTTGACAGATGTCCGTCCTGTTGGCTCCATCCACGATGAACTCAGGCTTTTCACAGATTTCCTGTCATTAAAAAAAAAAGATTTATATTTCTAAGTATGTTGTGAAATATCAAAAAAAATTCCCAGTATGAAAGACCACGTAAGAAAAGATGAAATGATAGTTAGAAGTTCTCCCGTTATTGGGTAATAATAACTGACTGCTAAACTAACTTGAATCAAAACAATTGCAAAGTTTAGAGTAAGTGGATTTTTTGATTTTATTTAAACCAAGTAGATTTGTTTGATATTTGAAAACAACGCCCTCTTTAGTCAAATGAAAATAAAAAAACAACAACAAACACATTTCTTAAAATAGAGAGAGAAAAATCTGCATCTACAAATCTACACTTGACATAATTCATAACGTGAGGACTTGACCCTGAAACTGGAGACGAGGGGGAGAATTTGTCCTGACTGTGTTGGACCTGGGACCACGAACCACCCTCTGCATTCGCTGCATATTTATGAGGAGGCAGCTGTTAAAGGTCGACCGGTCGCGACTCGTCGGTCGTCTGAACAAGTGATAACGCTGCAGCGAGGCCCTCGACTCGTAACAACATATCTGTCGTGGCAGCACCGGTGACAGCTTCAGTGGGAACCTGGAGCTGAACTCGCCGGCGTGTTATCCGGCTGTCATCATGGACACGTTTGTTTATGAGAGGGAGTTCTTGTTAGATGATTACAAGAGCTTTTGTATAAGTGATTTACAACTTGTGGATTTGAAACATAAACTTGTAGCCTATGTTAAGATGGACGGTGTGACTGCTCCCCTAAAGTGAAGCCGAAGCATCTCAATCTCCCCCGGCTGCGGTATAGCTCATAAACTCTGCTCTCTCCATGTTAGTGGACGTGACATGGATCAAACTAAAGAACTCAAAAATGGTTTCTGTCATTTAAGGCTGTTCTTAGCATGTCCAATGTTGAGCACATTTATCGGCCGGACCTCGACAGAACGGCTTCCTGTCTTCCTCTTTATGACCTTTATGAAAATTCTTCAAATTATCAAAGCAGAGGAGAAAAAACCAGTACATCAAGGCCAAACGTGTGAAGAGTGGCTACAGGACAAAAGGATTTATACCACCGTCCTTTAAAACCTTTTGAAATCCATCCAACCAAATATGCGATTGTCAAAGAAAAATGTAATGTTGCAGGAAAACTCTTAATATCCTGAAGCTGCAGATTTCAGGCATCAGAAAACAGAATAGTGAGAATAAAGATATGAGAGATCTGGTCTCATACAGAGTTTATTTAGAGGGTTCACAGCAGGGACTCAAGTCCCTTAATCACACGACTGACCATAACTAAGGCTGTTAAAATGCAGCCTCATGTTCTGTATTTAGAGCGGGCCCCCCCCACTGACCCCTCGATGGATTCATGTATCACTGATCTCATCTGAATGTCTCAAGCTGCATTTGTCATCAGCTATTAAGTGGCCACTTCACTTTCAATTTCAACAAAGCTGCAACTTATATGATGTCTATGTTTGATTTGTCGTCAGCAATTAAATGATTTTATAAATAACAATGCTTTGACATTTTGGAACTGATCATACTCTACATGTGAAGCCATGAGCCAGTTAGCTTAGCTTATCATAAAGACAGGAAACAGTGTGAAACTGCTAGCCTTGAGGTAACTAAATCTGCCCACCAGCACCTCATAGCCTCATTGATTAACACATTATATTGTGTTAATCTGGGGGCTGGATGCACCCCCCTGTTTTAAAGATTTGTACTAAACCAGGATAAGCTGAACTAAGCTAAGTTTTCCTGGCCCAAGTCACACTATACATATGTAGTAATCTCTTTTTGCTTAAAATGTAAGCATGTTTATACATCAATGATATTCATAATTTAGAACTTTTAGCTGTTAGAGTTTTTTTCATTTTAGCATTGTTATGTAGGTGTAGTTTCATTTGTGTTTCTGTGTATTGCTGTTTACATTACGTCAGTGTGTTGCCAGGCACTGTGAGTCGAGGGACGCACAGTTTGTCTCTTCATGCCAAACACAGCTAAACGACTGTTGACAAATTTCAGAGCTGCAGATCAGAGCCATTTCATGTCAATCCAAATCCTGCTGCAAGTCGGTCGCATCAGAATAAAACCCTGAAGAAACACTGAGTTGCCAATACGCTTCCCGGCATTGACAGCGAGTGTCTTCCAGTCAGCTGTCAGTGAGTGTAGAAGGTGATAACCCAGAGCTATGCACCCGCAAGTAAATCCACCCACAACCACTCAGCCATATCTGCTTGTCATCCCACCCATGTGCTGCGCAGGAAGTGGTGAGACACACATGGATTTTAGAGAAGACGTGTTTGAGCCAATTTTGCTTTGAGCGTGACGGGCCTAAAGGACACGATGAAGACAGACTTGCACTCACCGAGGGACGTTTCCACTCTATCTTCATGGAAGGTTTACGACTGTAGAAGAGCGAGGACTCTTTTGCAGGGAACAGGGGGTCCTCAAACACAACCTTCTTCTTCACATATTTGTCTCGCAGCTCCAAAAATGTCTTGAGACGCTTGGCATCCTTCACGGCCTCATTTCTGCTCAGGATGGCCGAGTAGATGGAGTTTGTCCCAACAGGAGGGTAATCGGTTTTGTCATCAGGCCCGTATGACGCCTCAGTCTCATGAAGCACCTTCACCTGTGTGTCCTCCACCAGAGGCACTTTCCCTTCATGTGTCTTGTCCTCCATCTTAGTGTGCACCTAAGCCTGGTTCAGATCGCAACTCTTAAAGTAGAGAACTTCCCTATTTACAGGAATCCACTTGCAAAACAGCCCAAAGAAACTTCCTGTGTCCTCCTTGACTCTCTGGTGATCACTTTTGGTTCCTTTTTAAAAATCCAGTCACTGCTCATGGACAGCCACCAACCAACAGCTTCTCACAGCAACACTCACACAGTCAGTGTTGTCTCCCTCAACCTAAATATAGGCCTCTTTAAAGGAGGGGAGGAGGAGAGAGAGACCCTGTCTCAACATTTTCAGGTCACAGTGTCACGCAGTGCTGCCGTCTGAATTCTATTCCACAAATTTAATAGTAAAAGAATTGGAAAGAAGTGGGCGGTATAGTCATTTACATAATTATTGAAAGCCAGAGAAAATTAAGCTTTAAAAGAGAGATATTTTAATGCACCTGTCGAATGTCTATCATTGAGAACACAGAGATAATGGTTAATTGGGCATTTATAACATGAAGAGATGCTTAGATGCTATGATTATATACATTTTTGAACATGTTTTGTTTTCAAATAATGTCACTTTTAGACTAAATGTCTGTAAAAAAAATACAATAGATGTAGTATTTTCCACCAGAACTGCAGAATTACACGATACAGAGGTTGTGATACAGCATTTTGGATGAAATGTGGAGATATTTGGAGTCTGTGTGTGAGATCTCTCCTCCACCCGTTGATTTAACATCGATATAAAATCAGCTACATTGACATCTAGTGGTTAAACACTAAACTTTATCTCAAGGTTTGGTGAAGATGAGAAAACCAAACACTCTTCATTGTTCAGCTCTCAGTTGGTCCAGACCTCTGTCAATCTAGGTCTATGTCATATGCTGAGGGGAGGGTTGCCAGGTTCGAAGAAAAACTGCATTCTTATTTCTTTTCATAATCAGGGTTTGAATAGCACGATGAAGACAATGTAATTAAGCTGCAATCTCTGCCATAAAAAGAAAAAAACTCTGCATGGAAAGTCAGAAGTGACTGAATTAAAATATAAACGAGGTAGAGTATGGGACATTCCATCAAATGTATGTCAATCAAACTCAGCTGCCAATCATGACGTTTTGCCCTATTTTTATTTTTCAACATGAAATAACTAATTAAAACCAAACGTACCAGAAAGATTTGCACTTGAACAAACATATGAACTTCTTTAAATCATCTTTGATAAAAATGTATCAACGTCCAATTATGACCTACACTGCAGCCAGCCACCAGGGGGAGACCAAGACGCTATGGCTTAACTTTTGAGGAGTAATCATGTCATCTATCTTTTTATACAATCTCTGGTGAAAAGGGTAATGCCATGTTCCATTATACTTTGGAGCTCGGGATGACGTCGTACCTGAATAACCTGAGTTGATAGAGTTCTAGTCGCAGAGTAACAATGTTTGTGTAAGACAGCGAGCCATTGTTAGCAAAAACATTTCATAATAACGCGTTACGCTGCATTTCAGGTACCACACTAAAGCATCCACGGAGAGTAATTGCACATTACTATGTGTACGACACATTTAATGACAGAAGTGCTATTAAACAGTAAAAACTACAGATTTCACTACTGTTGATATTGGGACTGGCCATCTTGGATTTCAAAGTCGTGGGTGGTGAGGTTCCTCCGAACTTCCGTGTCAAAATCCAGACTCCAGGGGGCGTTCCAGGTGCAATGAATTCTGACTGGGGTTTGGAAATCCTGAGGTCCGAGGTTTGATGGTACGCTGCATAAAATATCAAAAACTGACGCACAATTAACCCAGGACTTTGGCGGCCCCTGGAGGCTGGTATATATATATATATATATATATATATATATACATATTTTTTTATATCTATATATCACAACAATGATCTTACTTATAACGTAATAACATGCTGTGACAACATGTATAAATAAATTGAATAAATATACAGATCACAGAGAAAACAAGACGTTGCAGTGATTTGGCGGAAGGGGAGGATGAGACCGAGTGTATCTGGCAACCCTCCTCTTAGAGGGAGCAGGGTGCATCCGTGAGTTGTCGCCATCATTTGTGGCTACATGCTAAGCTAGCTGCGGTCAGTCCGCCGTCCTGTCCGTGTTTGTGCGGTGGCTGAGATCATTACCGTCTCTTTGTGTGTGTGTCGGGCTCCTGTGCAGTGTTATGTTGTTGCCCACCGGGGAACATGATTGCGGTGTCGTTGTTTTGTGGAGATTACTCACATTAGCGGAGCCGGAGTCTTGAGGAGGAGCAGCGGCAGGAGGAGCAGCGAGGGGCGTCGGGCTGCTAAACCCCGACACTGCCCCCCTGATCATCCAGGGAGCTAGCTAGCTAGTTCAGAGTCGGTCCTCAGTGAATGAACCCACTGTTGTTTGTTAGCTTCATTAGCTAAATGGTCGCTGGTTGTTTCCGCTATTGTCCCCGGTTGTTGAGTTGAGCTGCGACTCCGCCGAGAAACCGAGAAGATCACCGGCCAGCGGAGCTAATCAACCCAGCCGGGGTTCGTGTGTGTGTGTCACGGTGGGAGCCTGTTGAACTGGAGCTGGCATCGTCACACGTCCCGTCTTTAACACGTATGTAAAAAAAAAAAGTCCATGTGATTCTCCCACTCATGTTTGTGGTGCTGTTTATAACGGCCTCTCCCGCGGAGTGCTAACAAACTTCTCCTGCGTCTGTGCTAGCTAGCTACAGCTAACCAGCGCGTTCTCTTGCTCCGCTAGTTTAAACATGTGAGGTTTTGCTTTTCATCCAGCTCACGTTGTGTTTGTGTGTGTGAACCCGAGCAGCAGCCTCCCGGTGCCCGACGACCCGGAGGAGAGAGGATGTCTGAGGGAGAGAGCAGGCAGGGCCCGGACACTGCCCAGGAGGGGAAGCCGGAGACGGTGGGAGCAGGAGCGGCTGCGGGTCAAGGAGTGTCATCGGTGTCTCCCCCCGTGTCCATGGTGACACAGCCTCCGGCCACCGCTGCCACGGAGGATGAGGAGGAGGAGAGCGAGGATGAGTCGGAGATTTTGGAGGAGAGCCCGTGTGGACGCTGGCAGAAACGCAGAGAAGAGGTAGGAGGACGAAACGCAGCATGGACAAAAGTATTGGGACACACACACACCTCTTGATCAGTCACAAGGCCATTGTTTTTGACTGGGCCCCTCAGTTCATGTGAAGGGGAATTTCAACGCTTCAGATTACCAACTCATTTTGATACTTCCAACTTTGTGGGAACCGTTTGGGGAAGACCCCTCTCTGTTCCAGCGTGAGTCAGCCTCAGTGCACACAGTAAGGTACATGAAAGCATTGTTGGGTGAGTCTGGTGGGGGAAGAACTTGACCGAGCTCTGACCTCATCCCCATCCAACACCTTTGGGATGAACTAGGAAGGGGGTTGTGAGCCGGGGCCCATTCGTCCAACCTCAGCGTCCGACCTCTCAAATGCTCCTCTGGATGAGTGTGCAAAAATTCCCACAGACACCACAATCTTGTAGAAAGCCTTCCCGAAAGAGCGGAGGCTGTTATAGCTGCAAGGGGGGTGCAAATTCATATTAATGTCTATGGTTTTAGAATGGGATTTTGTAAAAGCTCCTATAGATATCCCAATACATTTGTCCATACAGTGTGTGTCCGAGCAACAGTCAGCTTGACCTTTTTTAAGGTAAAAATGCAAATGATGCGTTTTTGTTGTTTTCGTCCTGAAGGTGAATCAGCGTAACGTCCCCGGGATCGATAATGCTTACTTGGCCATGGACACGGAGGAAGGAGTTGAGGTGGTGTGGAATGAGGTCATGTTCTCTGAGAGGAAGAATTTCAAACTACAAGAGGTGGGTGCGCAATTGAGCTGATGCAGATTTGATGCAGCATTTGTACACTGCAGCACAATCTTACAGGATACGTGCTCATCATGTCAGGATGATGTCAACATGAGTCAGGTTTTTATACCTTCCAGGAACACAGTCTAAAATCTAAACAGTGTTTTGCATTGTTTTTCACCCATTAAGTTGCCCTCAATCGGTGACCTTACTAACAATGTGGACGCCTGCCCGCTTTCATTTCCCCTTTGGCTTAAGCTCCTTAGGCAAGTAGTCGGACTTGTTGCTGCCAGCAGCGTAGCAAAGTACACACTGTACCCAAATAGCTATGGAAACAGTTTTCAGAAATGTGAAAGGGAAAATGTGAGCAGCCTCGTGGTATTGAAGGCTCTAGCATACTTTTTGGGCATTTAAGGCTTTTAACTCTGTTTTTCTTTTCTCCATATAAAAATGTTTTTTATGTTTCACTGTGCGCTTGGTTGCAGAAATGGAAGATTGTCTCTATTACCTGCTTATTAATTATATAAAAACAACAAAGTGTTAGAATACACTACAAATTTTTTATCTGTGTGGAAACTTAAAGCAAATAGAGTGAAGATTTAAAAACCGAATCATAAGTTCACCAAAATCTCAGCTTTTGGTGAACTTAACTAACAAACCTGATAATACAAAGTAAGATACAGCAGAAGCTATCACACGTGTCATATCCTCTTTTTTCTTTTACAGGAAAAAGTTAAAGCAGTATTTGACAATTTAATCCAACTCGAGCACTTGAACATTGTGAAGTTCCACAAGTACTGGGCGGATGTTAAAGAGAACAGAGCCAGGGTAAGAAATCCTCTCAAAAATCTCATTGTCATCCAATCAGATAAAGAAGAATGCAAAAACCTTGTGTGCTCATAATCTGCTTTGTTTTTGTGCGCAGGTCATTTTCATCACAGAATACATGTCTTCAGGAAGCCTCAAACAGTTTTTAAAGAAGACAAAGAAAAACCACAAGACCATGAATGAAAAGGTGTGAAATCTCTGAACAGCTGAATAAAAAATCTGTTTAGCCTGGTTTCTGTTTTCTCCATGAAACTGAATCTGTTTGTTTTCCGACAGGCCTGGAAGCGCTGGTGCACACAGATACTGTCTGCTCTCAGGTAAGTCTCAGAAATCATGTCTGAATAATGTGAAAGAGGAAAACATTTCAAAAAGCCATCAACTGCCACAGTCGTTGACATTTTATTTAACCTTCATCTCTTGTCTCCAGCTACCTGCACTCATGTGAACCTCCCATCATTCACGGCAACCTGACCTGTGACACCATCTTCATTCAGCACAATGGCCTCATCAAGATCGGCTCAGGTAAATGGCCAATCACTGAAGCCAGTGATTAAGGTCAATCATCAGTCATTCCTTCTTGTTTTCTATGCTGCTGTGCTCTTTTGTTATCACAGTCAGCCTGAAATCTAGTATTAGTGTTGTTAAGTCTTTTTCCCACTATTGCAGTTGCTCCAGACACCATCAACAACCATGTGAAAACCTGTCGGGAAGAGCAGAAGAGCCTTCACTTCTTTGCTCCAGAGTACGGAGGTAAAAAGCCCTCAAGTGCATTCTTTGTCTCAGATAAAGCTCTGGTGTGTGGTGGTGTTTCTGTTTTATAATCAGCTTTTATTTCTCTCTCCCTCCAGCTGTTGCCAATGTTACCACAGCCGTGGATATCTATTCCTTTGGAATGTGCGCCTTAGAGGTGAGAGGAAATCTTCTTCTCTTAGCTGTCATTTGTTATATAACATCTGGCACAGCCATGGTTGCTCTTGATTTCAGTTTTGTATTTGTATTTCTGAATCTTTTCTAATCTACACCTTTCGGCACTTGGTCAGATGGCTGTGTTGGAAATTCAGAGTAATGGAGATTCGTCTTATGTGTCCCAAGAAGCCATAAACAGTGCCATTCAGTCCTTAGAGGACCCACTGCAGCGGGTGAGGAGAGCAAAGGATTTTCAAGCTTTATGGATGTTTGGAGAGAGAGGTTGAGAAACTGAAGTTTTTATCTTGTGCTCGTTCAGGAATTCATCCAGAAATGTCTGGAGGTGGATCCCAACAAACGACCCACAGCTAAAGAGCTGTTGTTTCACCAGGCCTTGTTTGAGGTGCCCTTACTTAAGCTTCTGGCTGCGCACTGCATCGTCAGCCACCAGCGTAAGTACACACATCTATAAAATGTTTTATTGGTATTTGGAATGAAATAGAGATATTGTTAACATCTAAGATACATTAGCAGTATCAGCAACCCTGCAGCATTGATAGAATATTTTAGTGTTAGTTAGTTCCAATCTTAAGTGAACAGTTCAAGACTGATGATTACACAGACACAGACCTGACACACAGTTTAGAGTGACATGCAGGTCCACCATTCAGAGTCACAAAAGGAATTTTTTGCATTAAGTGTTTGTAAAATGGAATGAATGTTTGTCTAATTGAAGTGTTCGTATACTTGTAGATATGATTCCAGAAAATGCTTTAGAGGAAATGACGAAGAACATGGATCCTAACCTGGTGATAGTTGAAGCCAAGGACGGAGTTCAGATGAAGTGAGTCATCAGCTATTGATGGATGGAAATCAATCTGAAAAAAAAACCAACAAAAGAAACTCAGGTTTTCATTTAAACATATTGTCTTGTGTTTCAGACTCTCTCAGTTTCCTGCACTGGAGCTGGACAAGTTTCTAGAAGATGTTCGGTAAGAAAACATTTTATACTTTTAAACAGATTTGCTTTTGATTTATTGTGATTTGTAGGTTCTGGCTTAAATACACAGACCTGCTCTCAAAATGAGGTGGAGAAAGTAAAATTAGACGTGCTTACCCTCTGGAAATCGTCTTATCATTCATGCTCAGTATAGACTTCAGTGTACAGTTTACAAAAAGGAGGTCTTGCAAAATGTCCCTCGTTGAAACTGCTGCTTTTTCTCTTGTGTGTATCAGGAACGGGATCTATCCTTTGACTGCGTTCGGGGTGCCATGTCCACAACAACCTCAGCAGGAGACGGTGAAATCTCCCATAGTGCCCCCGTCAGTCAAAACCCCGACCCCTGAACCCGCAGAGCTCGAGACCAGGAAGGTAAGAACTGACGTGTGGGAGTGAAATTAAATTACAACACAACAGAAAATAATAAACATCATACATTTACTGTTTCATCATTTATCTTTTTGAGCAAATCAATGCAAAAAATATAACACAGGTCACATATTTCAAATGTGTTTTGTTCTGTTTTAAACTTCATCTAAATTCTGGTGATAAAAGATCGAGGGAGAAGAAAAGTACAGATGAGAAATGGAAAGAAACAGTCGATCAGATTTCAGTGTTTGATTTTCTTATGTGCGACCTCAAGTTTCTCCTTGAGTGCTTTAAAACTCTACACGTAGGATAAATCACAAAGAATATTCCTAAAAAAGTAGTTTCATTTTGTATTTGAACATTTTGCTGAAAGCTTTCCTCAGTCCAGATTCTGTTTGCTCACGTGACAGGTTCTTCAGATGCAATGTAACATTGAGCCGGTAGATGAAGGAGCCAAGCATCATGTAAGTCACGATCCTGCCTCTCTGATTAACGATCTCTCGTCTTTAAGTTTTCTTTGAAATGACTTATTTTGTTCTCTTCTCAGCTGACCTTGCTTTTGAAACTCGAGGATAAACTGAACAGGCACTTGAGCTGTGATTTGTTACCAAGTGAGTATTTCTGGAACATCGCGCCATCGTTTACAATATTATGACTTTTTATTTTAGTTTTTACATTGAACAAACAATCAGTCACTTTGAAGCTTGAAAACTTGCAGTTTAACTGGTTTGTCAAGAAAATGTTGTGTTATAGATCCAGTGTGGAGGTTTCATCAAAACCAAAGGCTCTTGTTCACGTTTAGCTTCAAGTTTCTCAACGTTTGTTAAATGACAGACTCTAGATGTGAAGCTGTTAAAACTTTGCCTGACAGCTCCACTAATGGTCAAAAGTCCAACTCTGTGCCTTTTTATCATTTGAGAAACCTGTAGTTTTGGCATCAAAAGAGGCAAACTCAGTATTTTCTTATTACCCAGTATCTAAGTATTGTGGCTGCTTTGTGTGTTGGTCCAGATGAGAACGTGCAGGAGCTGGCTGTGGAGCTTGTTCAGCTGGGATTTATCAGTGAGGTAAGTTCCTCACTGTGACTCCTCAACACATCCTGAAGCTTCAGGGTTCAACAGGTAAAGATCTTTTGTTTTTAACGCTGCCATGTCTCCATTTCAGGGCGATCAGCCGAGACTTGCGTCAGTTCTTGAAGAGGCCTTCTCCAGGTTCTACAGTAGGAACGGTTCCCTCAATCCGGTGACCGTGTCCTCGTAGCGGAGGACTCTCCAGGCCTTCTCTCAGCCCTCCTACTCCTCTACAGCAGGACTAGCTTTTCGCTTCACCTCTGAGTTGCAGCAAAAGCTTTTTGCGATGACAGAGGAGGAAGCCTTGGTCTGATTTGCAGATCCTGCAGCCTGTCCTTGTATCTTCTGGTGGGTAAAGTTGCCACTAAGTGGTTGATGGCTTTCCATCTTTTTTTCCCCCCCCAACCGAATACAGCCATCTGCTTCTCTTTTAAAAGAGGAAATCCTTGTTGCAACTTAAGGAAAATGCGAATGTTTTCACCTTTTTGCTTATTTCTCTCCTTAGAGGTAAACAAAGCAAAGCTGGATAACAGCAGGATTTTCTTTAAGTCAGTGTTAAAAGTGTATTTTAAAAATTTTTACGTCAAAACTTTAATAGTTGTCTGTATAAAAGAATCTTTGTCCCGGCATACTGAAGTGTAAGTAGTATGGTGTTGTCTGGTCCTTTTAAACTGTCTCCTGAGCAGCGGTTCAGGCGACATTCTACCTTATATCGGTTTTTGAAGACTCTCGAATGCATTAAGCTCGAAACGCAACATTAATTTAACTTAAAGTTTCTGTAATTACTTCAACGTCGTCATGAAACATGCAGCTGCAACAGAATCTGAAGAGTTGCTGATAAAATATTACAAATCAAACTATTTATTTGTGTATCTTCTTGAGTGTATACTGTAACTTCACTTCCAGCACTAAGGCCGGTGGTTGTTTGAATGTATGCTTTTATTTGCTATCCCACATGAAGTCATGCTCTTATTTTCTATGAAAAGAGGTTTCGACTGAACTATTGATCGACACTTATCGATTAGGGCTCGATCAATAAGTCGTCTGTAGGTGGCACTTCACACTGGAGAGGTTGGTTTAGACTCATGAAGAAGCTTTGGTGTTAAAGCACATGACCTGACGGGTGTTAGTCAACAGGTTTGGTGAATGCATTTATGCTCTTTGTCTAAATGGAAACTCATAGTTTTTAATTATTGACGGTGGTAGGTTCAGGTCATTTATCACAGAGTGTTGTCGGCTTAGCCCCGCCCACATTGAGATTTCGCCTCATTAGTTTCCTTCATGGCCGAATTATTCTGCGTGGCACCGTCACTAAAACGCTCCCTCACCACTTAGAAGTTCAGTTCTTGGCTCAGACCGATCATTTGGTTTGATGATCTCTCTGATAGTTTGCACTGTCGTAGGCTTTTATCGTCCTGTTGGAAATGTGCCGAGGCCCCTGGCTTCTTCACACCGACAAGGGGAAGTGAGATGATTTGGAAACAGCGTCGTCAGTCAACGACTTTGAGTCTCGCCTTCTCTCTGCTGTGACCACCTTCTGTTAGGATGTGTAGATACTGCGAGTGTGGGACTACCTGGCATGCTTGTAACCATCTTTACACTGTATGCTGGACACTGCTCTGTTTCTGCTACACATTTACCCTCTTTTTTCACCTCCTGAAATAAAAAATGACTATCAGCATTTAAGGTTTTTGTGTGGTGTCATCTTGTTCGTTCGAGTCATGTTCTTTGAGGGGAAGTGATAAGCAAAGATTACAACTTTAAAAACTATTAATAATATATCATCTAAATGCAAAAACAACAACAATATTATGTTTTTGCATTTAGATTAACATGTTTATTGCATATACTACCAATCCAAACTAAAGAGTATGTTTTGGTAAATTTTAATCATCAAGATTAGAAAATTAAATTGTAACCGAGTTAATTCTTGTTAAATTATGTAAACACAGACACACAAATGAGAGAAAATCCACTTGTTTAAATTATTTATACAAAAACCCATCCTGGTGTATCAGGAGAGTGATCTCTACCCTCAGAGCATCACCGACAATTATTTGTTCAAAATGTTAAGAAACTAGCCCTTGTACAAGTAGATCCATGTACATACTTAAAGTCACAATGTGTGCTCGAATAACAGCTGAATAAAACACGTTTCATGCTGACAAACACGTTGCCGTACAAAATTACAGCAGTATTAATAAAAGTACAGCGAGACTAAAAATATTTTTCCATATAAAACGCCCTAGAAACGCACTCTAAATAAAAAGCTACCAAATTGGCGACATCCAGTTCATGAGTGTTTTTCAGCGGCGATTTTCAATTCTGTACATTGTGAGTAAAAAAACCCAAACCAAATAAAAATAAATCAAACTACAAAAACAGTACATAGCACTTCAATTCAAACACATTACTCTTTCACATTAAATCTGTGTTTTACTTCCCAGTTTGAAAGTAATGTATATAGGCACAGTAATTAAATTCATGAACCACGTTTGGTCGACACCGTTCCTTCTTATTCACAACTCCGCTTTAACTCTAATTCTGGCCGATCACTGCACTTTTTCACGCAGTCTCTCTTTTCTGTGAGACAGAAAGCTGCCGAACATTAATGATTCGTTTTTAGCTGTTGAAACAAACGGATAATTACAGCTCACAGTGAGCTGCTGTTACTCCTGCATCTCCTCATCAGGTCACAAGGACAATTTAACATGACGTCACTGTTCTAGAAATTTCAAACAAAGCTGCAGCTCTGAAATAGAACTATGTCAACTCTGAGATTTTCTTATCTTTAAAAAACTAATTTTAAATCGTTAATTCAATGAATTTAGGACTTTCGTCTGGATTTCAGTATAATTCAAATGATCTAAATCATCGATTCACAGTTCCTGAAAATAATTGTTGCATATTTGCTCTGTTAAAATTTAGAATATGTTGATGTTGAACAATAATAATAATTTATGCTTTCAAAGAATGGATGCAGAAGGTGTCCTGTATAACATAATTAGGTTCAGGACATAATTCAATGTTATCTTTTCTCTATCATCAAACTAGTGTAAGAATGATCAATGTTGAGCTATGGCTCAAAGTTTTTAAAGCTAAGTGGACCATTATCTGTTGAAGCTTGAAATCCAAACCACTTTTTTTTTATAATAAGGCTTTTTCCACATGAGATATTTTAAAATATGGAAAAGCAGAGGTGTAAATAATAAAAATAATAATTCTATTTAGCTGCTTCAGTGTAAGTTTCCTGGTTCACTGTCGTTGTTTACTAGGAATATAAAAAGGCCAATTAAATAATATTGTCCTAATACTAAAATTTGACCGTGTTATTGAGGCCTGATCAGCATCACTGCAGATTAAAACAAAAATGATTGTATTTCCTAAAATCTTACAACCGTGTGTAAGAATAATACTTGAATTCTTGACTTTAGTTCTACGTCGTACGAATTTGTCTTCTTAAAGCCGCAGTCGGTGACTTGTTAGTGCGTCTGTAATGTCAAGAAAATTACGTACTTCTACGATTTGAACTTAAACAAAAGGTAATCATAAGTAAAGAATGAATTCATACTTACGGATGTGAGATCATTACAGATCAAAAGAGGAGAGCGGCAGATCAACCGGGTCCAGTTTTATCTGGACTGAACATTTACGGCCGCTTCACTTACTCTTTTGTCAGTTGTGTAAAAACACAGCACCAGATTCACCACAAACCTTCAGTGTGTGAACTGGTCGAGACGTTTGTGCTTTTCTCTGTTGCATCCCAGTTAGTTGGTTTACACTGTCGTGGTGGCGTCTTCACATAAAACCCGTGCCTCCTGACGGCAGCTCTGCATATCAGATATCGTCGTTTTCAGCTCAGGATGTGCGAGAGGAGACGTGAAATATACAGAATGAAGTAGCACCGTCAGTGCAGCTAAAGGCATTCGACTTGTGGAGGCTCCTTCTGGTTCCACTCATGGCTGGAAGTAGACGACTGTGTGTTGTCATTTAGCTCTGTGATAAAAAAATCCATTCAAACCCCTCCCCCGCCTGTTTTTAGGATGATGAGGAAGTCCGGGGATTTGGCGTCCCTTCATTTCTTTAGACACTGGTACATCAGCGCTCGGGGGTTCAGCATGTAGCGCTCAGAGTTGAGCAGCTTGGTGAGATACTGCGGCACCTGAGGCCGAGGAGCCATGTAGGAGACACCGGGGCTGACGGCCATCACCTCCGCAATTTTCTGCTTCATCTCACTGATCTCCCGATCCTGCTTCATCACTTTATCTGAAGAGCAGAGAGACGTATGTCATTCTACAAAAGCACAAACTCAAACTCCTGACTGAAAATCAAAACAGGAACTCTACAATCGAGGAGAATAGAAAGAGAAATCAGCCATCTTGGTTGTTTTTAAACCAGAAATAACCATATTTGGGGGAGAGGGGGGAGGAGCCTGACTGAGAAGTGGAGTCTTTTCTCATAGACTTCTGAGTGTACACACCAGTGGAGTCACCCCCTGCTGGACATTCATGAGAATAGAGGTTTCAGGCACTTCCACATTGGCTTCAATTTGTGGACGTCGATTTTTATGAGTCTATGAGTACAACGTGAAATGTATAAAGACATTGATAGGCTGTTTTTTGGTTAAATATATTTGACCTAAATGGACACAGACAGAGAGAAAACTGATATATAATATTATAAAGTGTGAACCTTGAGCGATCTCCAGCTGTCTGCGGGCGTCTCCCAGTGCGGAGAACAGGTCCAGTTTGATGCGAGTCTCTGCGCTCAGGTTGTACTCCAGATGCTGAGCTTTATCCTGCATGGCCGACAGAGTGGACAGCAGCATGTCCGTCTCTTTCTCCACGCAGCGGTACTTTCCCAACGCCTGAGTCCAAGAACACACCGACAGTGAGGACAAGTGCAAAACATGACAACTGCATTTTGTTTTAATTCCCGCGGTGACCACCTGAGAGAGTCAGTGCTTTGGTTTCCTGAGTATTTTTATGCATCTTTGTAATTTCAGTCAATTTTTCCTCTTTGTTTCTTGAGTTCTTTTGAAAAATGTTTTCCTCACTCAGGAAACCAAAGCACCACAGAGAAACAATGATGAACAAACGAGCCAGTCACAAAACACGAAAGCTGCACAGTGATATTCTGACGGATGATTCTTTCTGTGTTAACTTTAACTCATAAATGATTGTTTGGAAGGAGTTGACCTGCACTCACAAGCAGTGCAGTGTTTGTATGAAAGACCTGGCTTCTGTTTCAGCATGCGTCATGTATGAGTGCGCCACTAAAATCAAACCACACGATACAACAATGACCAAACCTGATGTCAGACAAAAATAACCATGTGATGACAAAGCGCAATAATACGACTGAGTATTTGGGCCAAAGGAGAGAAACTAAACATGAGATTTAGAGAAAAAAGTTGTAATATCACAAGATTTTGGATCCTTAAGGAGTGGAACGAGTTCACTTTAGTTATTTCCTTTTTTTTTTCTTTTTCTCATTCAATTAATTCTTTATTCTGGCAATGTTATAATTGTTTTTCTCATTACAGTACAACTTTTTTTTCTAATTAAACTATGACTTTATTCTTGAAATATTATTTATTTTTCTCTAATTAAATTACTGCTTAATCCTTGTAATATTTTTTACTTTAATCTTGTAATATTACACATTTTTCTTGAAACATTGTGATTTTTTCCCTCATATTCTCGAAATCTCAGATTTGATTTAAATTCAACATGGCTCTGATACTCCGTTGTACACTACGTTGACTGCAGGCCAAAATAAAAAAAACACTTAAATTTCCCATCGTCATCAAAAACCACGAATGTTTCTAATAAACTGCACAAACACAAAAAATAAGAAATGTTGAAAAAGGTTCATAAACAACAACTGAAACAGCAAAACTACCACATGACCAAACTGAACACAACCAAGGACTGGACCACTGGAGACTCACAGACAAACTCACAAGTTCATTCTGAAATAGAGGAAAAGAATACCTCAACATCACTCTCTAGATCTACCACCCGATTCTCTTTCACTTGATACTCCAGCTGTAGTTGTTTGTACTCTGTCTCTAGATCTTTAACCCTTTTCCTTAACATTTGGGTTTCACAGTGTTCCTGCCTGGTGTAGGAGACGGAGAGAATAACAGTTTGGAAGCGGTGAGAGAGGGGATTCATTTGACGTCAAGACCAGATCACACAGAAAGAAACATGGCATTTCATTTGCAGTTTTTCTTTTTTACATCAGCCTTGTTTTTTATTTTCTACAGATGCAAGGAGAAGAAGATTTTAGAGGAAAGTGTCAACAATCTTTTGAAAAGTCAAGTGTGCATCAAGGGAGTAACTTTACTGAAAATACACTTATTTGCTCTTTTTGGCTGAGAGTTAGACGATGGACGTCAGAACAGCTCCCACAGGTGAAGCCAAATCATCTTGATCACCCCCTGGTGGATGGCTGCAGTATAGGTCATAAACCCCACCTCCTCCATGTTAGCAGTCTGCAGTAACACAGTCTGCCTACCAGCACTTCAAAGCTCACCGTAATGAACACGTTCAACTTTGTGTGTTTAATCCAAACAAAAATAAAGTGACTCTGGATACAACCAGGCTAACCGTTTCCCTCTGTTTCCAGTCATTGTGCTAAGCTAAGCTACCCCAGTCTAACCCTGAGCAAGAGAGCAAATAAGCATAGTTAAAAATGTTCTTCTCATTTCTCACCGTACACTAACAGCAGAGTTTAGGCAGAAAACCCTGACGGTGTGATTTACCTGTTTGTGAGGCTCCGTGCTGAGCTGGCGGCTTCCTCCAGTTTCTGAGCCTGAAGTTCAGCCAACTGCTTCTCAGCAGAGATTCTGGCTTCCATCTCTGCTCTGGTCTTCTTCTCCAGCATCGCACCGCTCTGTTTGTCTCGCTGCTTGGTTTTAGTCAGACACAGAATCCTGCAGGAAAAAAAAACATTCACTTAACTTTAAATAAGGTCAGACATGACGCCAGAGAATAAAGAAATCTCAGTAAAATTATTATTTAATTGAAAGAACTTTAAGCCACAAGACCTGAATATGAAATGGTTTTAAGTAACTTTCCATTCAAACAGTTGCAGTTTAAACGTAAACTTATATAGTTTGCATGTGTGATGCTTTTAGTCTCAGTCACTCACTTGCTCTGCAGCAGGATGTTGGACTGTCGGAGCAGAGACACCTCAGGTCTCAGGCTCCTCTCGCTGTTGGTTAAGTTGCACATGTGACTCCGCAGCTCCTGCTCGCTCTGCCTGCTCGCCTGCAGCTCCCCCCTCAGCTTCCTCAGCTCCTGCTCCAGCCTGAAACCCAGAGAGAGACACAGGAGCGTTGATTTCACCATCACATGACTCATCTCACACGAAGCTGAGGTGAATTGTTCCAGACTTACTTGTTCGTCTGCTCAGCGTGGTGATTCTGAGTCGCTGTCTTTTCCGTCACGTCCCGGTTGGGGCTGACCGTTTTTGAGCTGGTCCTCTGTTTCTTCTCGGTTCTCGCTGCAGGAGGAGACGGCGTGTTCGTGCTGCTTCGAGTTTTCGGCGAGGAGCTTTTGGCTGCCCTCGTGGCTTTGCTTCCCTGCTCCTCCTGAGGTAGATGTTCCGGGGTCCCAGAGGATTCTGGTCCTCCCGCCCCACCGTGCAGCACATCTCTGGACTCACCTGCACTGTGTTTGGACGACGATTGCCGCCGGTGCAACTCAGCTGACTTCACCTCCTGTGCTCCCTTCTCCGTCGCTCTCTCCTCGCTGCGGATCTGGAGGCAATCCACAGTGTGTGCCTCATCGTGGGCCACGACGGCACCGTTCTGACACTGATACTGACTCGACTCTGGCTTTATCTTCCATTTCGAGTCTGCAAAAACAGAAACAAATAAAGGTCAATCCCATCTCTGTATTACATGTGTAGTGACAGCCATTTACTTCTGTTCTTTAAAAGCTGAAATCTGCGCCAGGGATATAATGAAGCTTTAGCTGAGCTGGATGGACTCACTTGTGCTCCGTCCTCTAACTTTACTCCAGTTTATAAGAACAAAAAAGTGCAGAAAACATATAAAAGCAGCAGAAAACATTTGTGCATTCATTTCATTTGATAGAATTGATCCCTTTACTCTTTGAATCTCTTCAAGGACCTTCTCAGTTCCTTGTTGCCTTAAAATTTTATGAAATAACTAAAATACCAACACGTGATGAGTGGCTTTGTTTTAAGAGCTGTGGAAAAGCTCAGATGCCACTGATGCATCTCCAACAGTCCAGCAGGTGTAGCACAAAAACACAAAACTTTATATAGAAGCCAAGCTGCAGAGGAACAGAACAAAAATGAGTGTGTAGTTGTGAGGATGGTAGTTGAACTCACTGCTGTTGCTGCCGTCTGCGCTCGTCTTGGGGAAAACCTGCAGGCCTGGAGGCAGCGAGTGCTGCAGGAGGTGCATGTGGAAGTCGTTCTCGCTCTGAACGGCTCTCTGTATGCGCAGCTTAAAGATGTTGGTGAAGTAGCAGGTGGCATCAAACCCCAGATATACCACAGGATATCCAATACTGCATGTGCACACAGAGGGAAGAGGAGAGAGTTAGAATATGTGTGCCTGGTTGTAAAGATATAAACATCTTGGCTGACAGATTTGTATTATTAATGCTTACTCTATTAATAAATGCATGAATATTTTAAATCTTTTAAATCGTACTCGTACTTTGGCTTGTAGCATAAAAGTGAATTTGCTTCTGTTATCTGTGGCACACAAACATCGAGGCTGATTCTTGACAGCGGCACGATGGGATTCAGAGAAGTTTAATACTAATGCTGCTTTTTTTTAAATGACAGCTCAGTTAATTTCACGCAAGATTCCTCAATCTAGAGAATTAATTTCACTTCTGCTAGTGGAGGCGTAATCAAAACAAACAAACGTGCCAGTGTGCAGCGAAAAGATGAGACAGGTTGGCGTGAGAGGTTTTAAGGTCCTTGAGTCGGAGCGAAGCCTCCGTGTACACAAGTATAATCCACAGGGACACTGTCGATATGCAGATGCCTTTCTCTGAAAAGAAATAAAATAATAATCAGACGTGAAGATAAACTGTTTTAAAGCTGCTTATTCACGACAAACAACTTTCATGTTCTGTCACAAAAAGTAACACAAAACAAAGAATCCACAAACTCACCTGTGTGCCATATGTAATTGAATAATACGTAGGTGCTGGCCACAAAGAACAGCCAGTGCAAAGGAACAAAAATCAAACAGAAGATGTCAAGAGTGAAGGCAGCGCAGACGAAAACAACACAAATAACCTGCAAACACAGAAAACAAGAAGTCTGAGTTAAACGCACGGGATTCATTCTGTGGAATTAACGTCATCATCATCGCACACAGGCTGAAATCACACTGCAGGGGAGCGTGGGGTGCGGGGGTGGGGGCGGGGGGCAGCTCACCAGGCCATGGCAGTGGAACGTTGTGTACACGCTCCCGAAGAAGAGCCAGCATGGCCACAGGTACTCCAGTCTGAATTCGAGGATGAAATCTGCCAGCAGCACCAGAGTCCACATCATCATAAACTTCAGGAAGGTGTACGCACTGGAGGAAKAAAAWAAAAAAAAAAAAATCACATTAAAATGGCTTTTAAATGTCAACTATCAACATCATAAATGTGCATCAAGCCCCTGATTCCAGTGAATAAAGGCGTTGAATACGCCTCTTTGGCCCGAGACATTAAACACACGCACGCATCAGCTAATAAAACACTTGGGATCGGATACGAGACGTGAACCCTGTAATTGAGCAGCTGCATCTTAAAAGTGCAGAACATCCTCTCAAGCAGAGGCACATGGAGAACAATGACTGCTCCCGCATTCATTTTATCAGGCGACCACGAGCCAAACAGGAGCTGTGGTTTCCTCCTTTGTTCTGCCCGTCCATAGGCTGCTATCACATCACCCCCTTCTTTGTTTGGTTACCATGGCAATATTTCATCTGGAGGAGAGAGGGAGCACCATAGCTTCCCATTACACGTCCACATCCTCAAATCTGCCTTTTAATAACAGGGAGAGAGGGGTGGGGGTGTTTGGTCTAAATTCTCCTTATGATCACAAACAACACGGAAGTTATTTCACAATTATCTTATAGATGATGAAATTGTCGGACCTGGAAGAATGATGTGGGATGGACAGAAAGCAACACAGCAGCTTTAATCCATATTGCATTTTCAAATTGGCTTTATAATGTCACTAAAGGAGATGGTTGCTACTGTGAACACAAGAGCCACATCACAATTAGAAATATGTAATGTTTAACAATGAGAGCAAAGAAAAACAGAGCGGCACAGCGTCTTCATTTCTTTAGTGCACACATTTGCCTCTCAGTGTCACTCAAGGAGTGTGTTCTAATTGATCTCCCTGGAATCTTTAATGGTACATTCGAAAAATTAAAAGTAATTCTACAACAAAATGCTATTTTTTATATTCAAGAGACAGGAGTGAGGAGAAGAGCATCTTAAATTCCCAAAACAGATTTAAATGTGTCTCATAAAGACTTGGATTATGTAATTTAATTTATTAAAAAGAAAATTGTTGGAATAGCTTCTACACAAATTGTGCAACAACACATTTTTAAGTAAAATATCTTTTTTTAAATTCTTATAAATTACAGTTAAACATCCAAGTTAATGCCAAATAAAAATAACTTTGATTTATTATTATATTTGATTTCCATCTTTCTTACATGGAACTATGCCTCATAAAACAAGTGGTTTCTTCCTCCTGTAAATTCCTTTTGAATCTAAAACAGCTGTTTATATTTTGGCCTTGTATAAAAACACAAGTATTAATACACATCTGGTACACATGTAGATATTTGTACACAAAGCAGCACACAGGGAACAACAGGCCACGTTCACTTCCACAGATGCTGATCTCTCTCTCTCTGTGTGTGTGTGTGTGTGTAAACAAAGCAGGATGAAGTCACCACATGAAGAGAAGCTGGTGGATTTAACAACGCCTCGCAGACACAGACAGACAGGGGCTGATGAGGCAGACAGGTGACAGCGATGACATCTCACACAAAGACCACAGCAGAAACACATCTACCTCTCAGACAGACGCTCCGTTATCTTCAGCTTCTTCATTTTCCGCAGCCTGCTCGCGTCCACATAACGTTTCTTCATCTTATTGGTATGATTAGTATTATTATTATTATGGCTCCTTCCTCCTCTTCCTCTTTCTTCCTCGGCTGCTCCGCGCTGGGTCTCACCGACAACAAAAGACAGATCAGAGAGAGAGAGAGAGAGAGAGAGACTACATCCGAGTGCCAGAGAGAGAGATGCGTCTTTGTGGGAGAGGATGTTCAGTTCAACCTGTGAGGATGATGAAGATGAGGATGAAGAAGAAGATGATGATGATGATGATGAGGTATGGGAACAAATAGAGGCGGCCAGCGGCTCGGCGCATGCGCAGTGGAGGGTGCACCTGCAAGTGTTGGACGCAGGAGGGGAGCAGATCAACACACTGAACACACCCACTATTAATAAGATGATTACAATAATAATTATAATTAAAATTAGAATACAAACTGCTTTACACCCATGTCATGAATTAAAAAAACAATAAAATGCAGTTATATTTTTAAAAGTACAGTCGTGTGTGTGTGTGTGTGTTCAGAAACCAGAATTAATCTATGAATGAATCAACGTTTATTTTTGTGTCACGCCCGCCCCACCCTCATGTGTTTGAATGGTAAAGTTGCAGTGATCAAACATAGTAACTTCAATTATTTTTACTTCAATACAAAAGTGTGAACGCCAGATTTTGGACGGATCATGAGACAATCGTCGAAAAACCACATTTTGGTTGTTGTGTATTTTTTGCACTAATCTTTCCGGTGTGTCAACTTTTTGTGAGTTTGTGTTTTTGTTATGTTCATTTTGTTTAATCAGTGTGTTTTTGTGATACTTTTATGACTTAATGTGGTTGTTTCATTTATCTTTGTGGTACTTTTCCACCAGTTTGTGATTATTTTGCATGTCTTTGTAGTAGTTTTGAATCTTTCTGCAGTTGTCTAATTTGCCAACAAAACATTTCAATGATCAAAGTACTCTACCCTTGCAAGGCATGTCATTATATTTCACTTCATATATTGAAAATGTAAGTGGGGGTACATTTTCACATTGATCCACAATTCAACCAGTAAACAACTTTTTCATGACAGAAAACGTTTTCTTGAACAAGATTTGAATTCATGAATCAAATAAACTGAATCTGTTGACGGTGTCACTGTTATCACTTATTCCATATATATGAATGATAGTTTTTCAAGAAGCAGCAGAAAACCCTTACTTATCGTGACTTGACATTGTGGCTCCTCTGAATGACGATGGCTCGATACCACAGGTTTTAGCAGTCTATCATACATTGATGTGGATTGTATATGTGATGTTTATGTATTTAATTGTGTTATATTAAACTCTATATGCTCTGTGTATCACCTGACTGAACAAATTTATACAAACCTTCCCTTTATCAAATCGACTTCCGTCAAGTGTCAAGGACACAGCGCTCCGCATGTTAGTTTAACTTTCTAATGTTATTTATATTTGATATGATCGAGGTTTACCTTAGATACTGCGTTCTTTCCTGATAAGACACACACACACACACTGGCCATAACCTTGCCACACGAGGAGAATTTGGTGAACATGCTTAATGCACCTTTATCACAGATGTACAGTGTAAACAAACCCGTGGCCTTCCACCATTTCTCACCGCTGCCACGTTGACTACATGCTATCTTCATATGCCCTTGAGTCTGCGTTTGAATCTCACACGTCTCCGCGGTCCTGAGTATATATATCACACCTGTGGCCCTCGGAGGTCGACAGTCTCGGACTGAACAGCGAGTATGCACACCTTCAACTTCCTGTGCGCCTTTGGCCTCCTGGCTGCTCTTCAGGTGACCTGGGCAGAGGATGTGGAGACTTTGGCAGTAAGTAAAAAAAACCCGGCAGTTTGATTGTGGAGCAAAAAGATGAGAAAATCAAACATATATTTGGTTTTAATGTGCAAAACAATTTACGTCTTTTCTTTCTCCCTCATCTCTGGAATCACACCTGCAGGAGGGTGAGTGCAAATATTCCAACATCCATCTCCAGTAAGATTCAGTTTCATCATTCACATTTGGTTTTTGAATGTTCCCTCCATCTTTTTCTCTTCAGGCACAGTCCTGGTGTCCTCGTCAGACCAGAGTGAGATCGTGAACAAGCACAATGCCCTGAGGAGAAATGTTCAGCCCTCTGCCAGCAACATGCTGAAAATGGTAAAAAGAAAAAAAGAAAGAAAGTGCATTAACATAATATAAACTGATTTTAAACACAAGCACTCACACGTATGTAGATTAAATGGTGTCTGATGTATCGTGGTGGTCTACATGTGTTTATCTAACCGCCGCTCTCCCCTCGGCTCCCTGCAGAGCTGGAACAGCGAGGCTGCAGCCAACGCTCAGAGATGGGCCAACACCTGCTCCATGAATCACAGCCCTCCCAGCTCCAGAAAAATCAGCAGTAAGTTCTGTCTGTTTTAAACTGTCGCTTCACGTGCACAAGAAAAAGTGTTTTATTTACCAAAGGTTAACAAGAAATCAGTATTTAGCAGTTAGAGCATAAAATATTCTGCAACTGCATCATATGAGATTAAAATCCAGGTTAAAATCAAAGTCCAGGCTAATGAAGTTACTTATATACAGTATCCACCACATTTATATTTTAATTTAATAGCAGGAAAACTCAGTAAAACCTTTCAAATAGATTGTGAATAATTTGTTGTTTGGCGTCTTTATCAAACCTTTATAACAAAGAAATGTAATTGAGGCACTTTATTATATAAAAAACATTACAAGCATTAAATGTAAACATGAATGCATCTTTCCTATGTTGTTTATTCTGTAAAATAAAAGTCACATCATCCTTGGGGGCTGAGACAGATTGTATAGGATTCATTTAGATTTAGAGGTGTAGTTAATAAAGTGGCTGTTTCCTTTATGATCATGAATCAAACACAGAACTTTTTATTTAAGACGACTTAACATATAATTGTGTGACTGCAGCCAGTGGCTGTGGAGAGAACCTGTACATGTCCAGCTACAAGAGCACGTGGAGCGACGCCATCCAGTCCTGGTACGATGAGGTGAAGGACTGGCGCTACGGAGTGGGAGCCATCAACGGAGGAGTGATCGGACATTACACACAGGTGCAGCTATATACAGTTTGTGTACATATACACAAACTGTAGTTATTTCTGAATAATTCACACACATTTCCCATCGGATGCTTGGAAAAAGGAGCGTTTTTAAAAACTGATGCTGAGCTCCTTGTGATCTCGTGTCTCTGCTCAGGTTGTGTGGTACAGGTCCAACCAGGTCGGCTGCGCTGTGGCATACTGCCCCAACTCTGCATACAAATACTTCTATGTCTGCCAGTACTGCCCACCGTAAGTACATAATATCCCACCGTATATCTGTAAGTCTTTATTTCTGTATTTTGTTGATTTAAATTGAAAAGAAATAAAGAAACAAAGCATCTATTTTCTTTTTCTGATAACAGTGCCATTTATTTTTAGCCTTAGTAAATTTGAAAACATTTCTGTGCTGAATAATAAAGTGGATGCAGAAGCAGAGCAGTAATAAATGAAGTAATGAGGAGAATATTTGCAGTTTAGATCTAATTTCCTTCACCACTTTGCTTGGTTGTCATCCGACAGTGATTTAAAAGTGCTCTGCCTCCTCAGAGCACGTCCATGACATATTTGGGCTGATATCCAGTGAGTCTCTACGTGGTCATGTTTAATATTTAATGGTCTGCCCTACATTACAGTGGAAACTACCAGTACGCTCGTCCCTACAAATCAGGACCCTCCTGCGGTGACTGCCCCAACGCCTGCGACAACAAACTGTGCAGTAAGTGGCAAACACAGAGGACGTGATCCCCTCATGGAGCGGCTGTGCCCGTCAAGAATACAGATTGATTATTTTATCAACGGACTTCAGAGGCTGAGCAGGAGAAAAATGAGCTCGTCAGAGTTTGTTTGTGAGAAATCACACACAAGATGTTAAAGATAACAAAGCTAAGATTGTGGTTTTCGATAAGGAGAGAAACAAATTAAGTGCAGGTGACAAGAATCATATCTCTAACAAAGATAAATACACAGCTTCACTATCATCAGTAGAAGGACATGAATCATTTTAATTAAATGTATTAACAGAGCAACTTTCAATAGCCGCTTTAAAGAATGAGGAAAACAAATATAATAAATAAAATCTAAATAGTTCAAAAGGAAAAGATAAGTCATTAGAAATACTAACATGCTATAAGTTGACGAGTCAAACCTCATTGTGAGGAGTCTGCAAAGTTTCTCAAGTAAAGACAGAAACAACAGACTTAAAGATCAATGGTTTTTTATATATTAAGGATCATAACATCCGTGATCTTTATCAGCAGCTGGAATTCGTTAACCTAACTTTCGTTTTGAGATAGAGGAATCAAGGAGCTACTCAGTATCAACCACCTCCTGCTTCTTCCCTTTTCTTTTTTCTTTTCAAAGGCTCTTCCAATTAATTAGCAAGTAAGCTGAATCATTTCTGGACGTGCACACTGAGATTTAACTCTGAGGATCCTTTCCTGCCTCTAAAATATCTTTGAATTCACAATTCAAAGCTCTGTTGAGTCGTTTTTTTTAACTGAAAGAAACTGTTCAAACGTAATTTAAGAGATGGGAATGTTTTCTTTTTGCTCTTTTGACTTTATGCATATCTGTATCTTTCAGGAACTGTGTGTTTTACTGTATAACAGAATCAAATAGTTGCATAAGTGTGTACCTGGGTAGAAATGTGCTTTTTGGCCACAACAGTTTTATCTCTGTATACAAGAGTGAAGGATGGGAGGTAGAGCGGGTCGTCTGTGAACCAGAGGGGTCAGAGGTTTGATCCCCGACTCTTCCAGTCTGCAGGCCAAAGTTTCCTTGGGCAAGACACTGAACCTAAATTACCCCTGCACTGTTCAGCTGTTCAGCAAAGCCTGGTTCACCCATTTGTTGGGTGAAATATTAAATTCACGATCACTGTATTTTCACCAGTTTGTTACATTTGTCATGAATCTATCAGTTTAAGATATAAACCAGGCAAAGGGACAAACTATACATACTGATCATTTTCATTCCTTCTCTTTCTGCATCAATTAACTTTCTCTTTTTCGTGTCTCCTCCAGCCAACCCCTGTCCCTACTCTGATCAGTACAGTAACTGCCCTGACCTGAAGCAGCAGTGGGGCTGCAGCAACAAGGACGTGGCCTCTTGGTGCGCCGCCTCCTGCAAGTGCACCACACAAATTATTTAAATGCAACACGTCCCCTGTGGGCTTTGACTCATCGGTCAGTTTCAATAAAGATATGCATCTTCAACACTTGTGTTTTGTTTTGTGTATCCTCAACTTGATAACGCCCCAAAAAAACACAACCTGAGAAAGTGCTTTCCGTTAATTTGACACATTTGAAGCGCTCTGACCTGTTCGACTAACAGATAAGATTAAGGAGGAAATTAAATTTGGCACAGCTCTGGACAAACACTGGCGTGCTCCGCGGACGCAGGAGACATTTGGCTGCGCGAGAGGTGTAAATGCACAACTGAGGAAGGAGAACACACTTTGAAAGGGTGGGTCCGGCAGAGGTGGAGAGGGAAAGTTAGATTCCACAAAGATTTCCCAAAGCTGAGCCAAGAAACAGACGCAGATTGAGACCACACCTGCTGGCACAGGCTGATCAGTGCTAATAATACTAACGTCAAACCAATCTGTCTTTGTGGAATAAATCCAATAGTCAAACAGACTGAATCCTTAAATATCCTGTGATATTTTTGCAAAGTGCAGCAACATACTTTTCTTTATCATTAATACTCATGAGGTTAGTTTTAGAGGCAGCTCTAATCTGAGCTGCCAGGAACCTGGAAAAGGTAACTTCCTGTTAGATAAGATATTTTTAAATGAAAACACGCTGTATGTACAAATTCATCATAATAACAAAAATAATGCAGGTCGTTGTTAAGGAACGACAACATAAGGCTTTTGTTAGTTGTTCAAGTTGTCGTTCTTCATCACCTTCAGCAGCTTTAGAGCAGAAGTGATGCTCCGACATCCGAGGCTGAGCGAGTGTGCGTCTCCTCAGGGGTCGACCACAAATGTTCTGGCTGCACAGCGGGCTCCTGGTTTCAAATGGGGCTGTGTTTGTGTGAGACTTGCACCCTCCACATTTGAGAAGCACAGATGGATCTGCAGGCTCGGATGGTTGGAATTCAACCAGGTTTTTTTTTTCCTTTTTGTCTTTGGTTTCCACTCGGCGCTGACAGCAGAGGTTGTTTTCATTTTGGCTCATTAAAAGCGTTAGCCGCAATAGTTAACCTATTGCCACTGTGTCACACGCACGGCTATTGTGTTGGAATTAGTTCCCTAGCCATGTAATAACAAACATCTCTTGCTGAAGACAAATACGTGGGCCGTGTTTCTGTAATCTTGTCTCAGGCCAGCACAGCCTCTCGGCGGCGTGTAGGAGTCATTAAGACGTAATGGACCACTTGTTTCTGCTCCGTCACCGAAATCCTTAGGGGCCAGATGAGAGAACCACCTGCAGTGAGCGGACAGGGGAGCTGGAAGGAGTCTTATTCCCCCAGCAGAGGGGGAGATAAGGGGATGAATTTTTTTTTCTCTGCCAGCGGATCCAGCGATAGCAGAGGTCCTCTGGCTTGGCCAAGCTCGATAAGGCCGGCCATGCCATCCTGTGGGGCTTATCAACTCCAGCAGCGAGCATCAACAGTTGAAAATGTTTATGACTTTGGCGTCAGTTTGTCTTCCTCGACAGCAGACTGTGTAATATGGGGAAAATAAGGACTATGGACATGGTTAAAGCTCCTGTGGATTTTATAGAAATGAACAACAGTGAAATTGAAGTTTTTGCAAGAAAAGGTTTGCTTGCTTCATCTAAATGTTAACAGTTTACTACGGCTCCACCAGGCAGCTCTCTGCTTGTGTGGCAGATAAAATAATCAAATGCAGGGGAGACATTTACCTCGTTAGTTCTTTTAAATGAAATCACATCAAGAGAGGAGGGAGAGGAAAGTGTGAGAAAATAAAAGAGAAGGAAGAGGAGAGGGAGAGGGAGGGAAACAAGCTGGTAGAATCATATAAAGGCATTTTCATAGCACAGGGGGGGAAAAATGCAGGAGGACAGAGAGATCAGATGCATCAGTCTGTCCAGACTGAAGACAGTTCATTTAGTCTGAGTCGCTATCTCGTCACATCACAGTCCCTCTGGATTAGAAACAGGAAGCTGAAAAAACTCCTACTTCATTCAAACTGAGAGAAAAAGATCTTAGGGCTCAGTTCAGCAAACTGCTCTAGATTCACTGTGTTTGACTTTAAAACCCTGACGAACAAAGTCAAAAAGTTTCAGTTGTGTTTGTTTTAAATCACCTTGAACGGCAGAATCTCACCATGTTAAAATCCAGAGATGCTGCCGTTCATCCAGGTCTGCTCCAAAGTCTTATGGATCGTGCCAAAACAAATGTGAAATATTCTCTCTTGATGTGTGAAACACAAAAACCTAGAGATCTGTTTGTTCTTAAGACGCAGACCCTGGATCAGTCCTGTAGGCCTCATGCAGCCACTTCACACTGTACTGAAGTGTCACCTGTGCAAAGAGAGCTGCACAGAACCAGTCGGAGAGAGGCCTCTAATGAAATCGGAGCATTGTAGCTTTGGCGCAGCTTCCTTCCTCTCGCTGAGTGCTTTTAGATGCAGCACAAACAAAAACCTGCTAACAGGCTCCCCAGCTCAGCCCCTCTCAAGCTTTCACCATCTGAGCCGAAGGCCACAGATGTGCCGCTGCCCTGACAGATCACTTTCATTGATAAAGGCCTGAAGGAAGGAGGGCTGTAGCCATGGCAAACACTTTATTTCTAATCTGTATGTGGTAGCTGGCTCTATAGTAACCACATACTTCCCTATATTGTCCCGTGGAGCTCACAGTTTGTGGACCGGGTCACAGTGTGGAGCTTTTCTTCCCCCCCAGAGCTTCCTAAAGTGGCTGTAAGTGCGACTGTGGCTGTAGTTTTATGACGGCAGCAAGTTCAACCATTGGTCACAAGTCTGAGCTCTCCCAGCAGGCCCGGCTTAGCTAAATAAAACAGGCCTGCTTCACGTCAGCCATTAGAAGTCGGGTGTTGTTCTTTCTCTGCCTGTTCGATTCTCACTCAATGGTCCCGCGGCAAACGCACATTAAACAAACATTTGGAAAGGGGTCCCAAGCCTGCGGCGGCGGAAGTGGTTAAGGTGGGTGTATCCCAAACACAATGTATGGCAAAACACTCGCTCACACACAAACCACAACTGTGAAGAAAATAAAATCAAGAGCGAGAATGGACTGGAGAAATAATCAGCAGTTTTTAAGATTCTCTTTTTGCGTTTCGGTTCATTAAATCAAGTAGGTTGTAATGTAGATATGTTTCATTAAAGTTGGAATGAAAACAAAACAAAAAGTGTTATTTTAAAAATGCTTAACCATCACAAAATACCACGCAATACTTTTTAAAGGTTTTATATTGTAATAACTGGCTTTATTTATGTCTCAAAACTCATTAGCTCTATGAAACCATTAGAAACAACAAATTCTGGATGTGTGT